ATTCTTCTCTTTTCTTCAACAAACAAACCACAATTTTCACAAATCAAATTTCCAACCTTTTTTTACAACCCAAACTCAAAAAACCTCATTAACAAACGTTCTTAACATTTTCAATAACAAATATGGCATTGGCTCTTACATCTTCTCTTTCATCCGAGCTCAAAGGTCAGTTTATTACACCAATCGACCCGTAATGACTACGGCATTTGTTTGATTGTATTGATTTAATTTTAATGTGGGTTATGCAGCTCCAAGCGTCGGTGCATTTCAACCGTTGGATCGTCAATTCAATAATTTAACGGCTACGATTAATTTATCAACAAGGCGAGCTGTGAAGCCGTTACGAGCCGCCGCCGAGTCACGGCGGAGTGACTCGGTTGCGCCACTCACTGCAACCACCTTCGCCGCTCCTACGACTGGTATTCTATTAATTTCTGATTTTTTTTTGGAAAGTTTTGGAAGGAGATTTAATTTTGAATGTGAAATGACGGAAATGACCTTGGTTTGAATTTACAGAGGAAGGGGTAAAAGAGGAAGTGAAAATTGTTGAAGAAGAGGAAAATTTCGAGGAGTTAGCGAAAGAGCTTGCTAATGCTTCTCCTCTTGAGATTATGGACAGGGCACTTGCTAAATTTGGAAATGATATTGCCATTGCTTTTAGGTATAATTTTATTTGATTAATTTTAATGATTTAAAGTCTTAATTTTTATTATTTTTTATGGTTAATTCACTTTGTTTAAGATGAATTTACTAAATTTTTAGTAAATTGATTAGGGAAATTGTATAATTAATGAAGCCATAATTACTTTGTTGCCCTGGAATGAATGTAGACTTGATTATTAGAAGGTTCAAATGTGTAAAATGTGCAATTACAGTTTTGCCCCTAGAATGTATAGACAGGATTTTTGGAGGGTTCAAATTAATCAAATATGAACTAGTCAGAGAAAATAATGAATTAAATTAATTTAATATAATAAAAAAAGTGTATCTTTCAAAAAAAAAAAGTGTAAAATGTGTAATTACTGTTTTGACCTAGAATGAATGTAGACTGGATTACGAGAAGGTTCAATGTTTTTTATTAGTGGTGGATATGAAAGGATCATGTGATATTGCAATTATTTTAAGGGTAATGCTATACATGGCTATATATAAGTATTGAATTTACTCTTGGAAAATGTATAAAGTTAGGAATTCATGACAAAAACACGCGTAAATCGGTGTAATTAGTGTGTTTTTGTCAGGATTTTCTAAATTTAAACAATTTTCAAAAGTAAATTAAATGCTTATATGTAGCCCTTAGGGCTATGTATAGCTTTTTTCTTATTTTAATTACCTTTTTCTGGGATAATTTATTATTTTGATTACATTTTTCTGGGATAATTTATTGAATTTATTTGATATTTGGTACACTGATGTAATATTATTTGTTATAAACCAGATTTATTGGTGTTGATAGTAAATTATTAAAATATTTTAAATTCATGAAATTATGTTTAAGATCTCAAATTAATCCATATTGTGAAAAACATCATAAATGGTGATTAATACACAATGTTGCAAATTGGAATACATTAATAAGAGCTTCAAGAATTTTAAACTTGGAATCACAAATATTTGATTTTCAGATTCATGCTTGTATTTGATCTTGTAACATTTTATATATATGCTTTTCCATAAAGCAATGTCTAGATTTTAGTATGTTAATTAGCTCTTAACATGTATCTGTTTGATCCTCAGTGGTGCGGAAGATGTTGCTTTGATAGAGTATGCCAAATTGACCGGCAGACCCTTCAGAGTCTTCAGCTTGGACACTGGAAGATTGAACCCTGAAACATACCGGTTTTTCGATGAGGTTGAAAAGCACTATGGCATCCGCATTGAGTACATGTTCCCTGATTCAGTAGAAGTTCAGGGTCTAGTTAGGAACAAGGGGTTGTTCTCTTTCTATGAGGATGGACACCAGGAGTGCTGTCGTGTAAGGAAGGTGAGGCCACTTAGGAGGGCTTTGAAGGGTCTGCGAGCCTGGATTACTGGGCAAAGGAAGGACCAGTCTCCTGGGACTCGCTCTGAAGTCCCTGTTGTTCAGGTGGACCCTGTTTTCGAGGGTTTAGATGGTGGTGTTGGTAGCCTTGTGAAGTGGAACCCGGTTGCCAATGTTGAGGGTGACAATGTGTGGAACTTCCTTAGGACTATGAATGTGCCTGTCAACTCATTGCACTCCCAGGGATACGTCTCAATTGGGTGTGAGCCGTGCACAAGGCCTGTTTTGCCTGGACAGCACGAGAGGGAAGGAAGGTGGTGGTGGGAAGATGCCAAGGCCAAGGAGTGTGGCCTTCACAAGGGTAATATTAAAGAAAATTCCGAAAATCAGAATGGTAGTGCTCAATCAAATGTAGAGGTTGCTGACATTTTCGAGTCAGATAACTTAGTGTCGTTGACTAGAGCTGGAATTGAGAACTTGATGAGATTGGAAGACAGGAGAGACCCATGGGTTGTCGTCCTCTATGCACCATGGTGCCAATTTTGCCAGGTTAGGCACCGATTTTCTTTTGCATCTGTCTGCATTGATATCCATTGAGCAGAATTTTGGTTATACTAACTGATTTTTTTTTTTTTTTTGAACAGGCAATGGAAGGTTCATACCTAGAGCTGGCTGACAAATTGGCTGGAAGTGGTGTCAAGGTAGGAAAGTTCAGGGCCGATGGTGATCAGAAGGCGTTTGCCAAGAGTGAACTGCAGCTGGGAAGCTTCCCAACTATCCTTCTCTTCCCAAAACACTCATCTCAGCCCATCAAGTACCCTTCAGAAAACCGGGATGTGGATTCACTTTTGGCTTTCATCAATGCTCTCAGATGATGATCAGCGTTAAACAGTTGTTATACATTTCGTAGATATCAGAGAAGAAAGCTAAAACATAACCGAATGATGGCAAACCGGAAGATAACCCGAGAAGCTAGTCCAGTTTTACCGGATATGATCCCCCTTATGATTCCAAGGGAGGTTCTTTTGTAGTCAATAGTGAGCTACATTATGACTTGTTAGTTGCAAGTTGGAGATGTCATGTTTATATAGTTTTTGAATCTCTGTTTCTTTTTTTGATGGGATAGGGTAAAAATTATGGTGTTCAAATGGGTGAGGCTATATGTACATTGTGAAGGGCTGTGTTAGAATCTCAATTGGTGTATCAGAAAATTCCACCAAATAAATCTGAGTTTTTATCTGGAAATGGTTTATCAGCATGTTGTTTCAATTTTGTTCATTCATTTAACATTGATTAGTCTCTTCCTAATGGAACAGTTTGTCTGGCTGCACTGAGCACCGGCACTGATTCAATCACTGGAACAGTTTGTTATCTCTAACCCGAAATTGATTAACTCCAGTGTGTTAGTTTCGATCACATTATTATTAGTGGTTCAAATTTTGTGATCATATTAAATCGATCGGTCATTCATCAATTTTATACATCATATTGTAGGAGAAAAATATAAGGTAAGCGAAATTGTTCTTGTTAGATGTGAAGGGACGAGTTCTAATATGGCGCGATTTTCGTGGTGATGTTACTTCTCTTTAGGCCGAACACTTCTTCACCACTCTTGTCCAAAAACCGGTCTTCTTTTCTTGTTATTTAGATTTATGATTTATAACATGCTGATCATTTCAAATTATTGTGTGGTCTAAGACCGCCAAAATGACCAATCCCTTGTTTTACAGCATTGTGAAATATGGCGTTGGTACACGTGATAGTGTGTGAGTTTATTACTAGGTGTTCGTGACTTTGACAACATTTTCTAAATTGGTTTATGATTTTGTGATGTAAACTGAGTTTTTTTAAAAACACTTGTTACATTTGCTAAGTACTTTGAAATATTTTTTATTTTTTTTTATGGTAAAATCTATTATAAGTGTAACACGATTTATAAGTGTGATCATGATAAATTATTTAAAAGAATGAACAAGGAACAAAACTAACGAATTTCTTTGATATATGAATAGAGGATGATGTCATCTCTCAAGGGCCAGTGGTACATGAGTAAGGGGTAACATACATGTTTGTGCAACACAAAAATCTTTATTTGATGGCAGCCTCTCGTCAGAAGTGCAATGTTGCTAGTCTTTGTTGACTCGAATGAACAATACAAGAGGGGGGAGGGGTGAATTATATTGTAGAGGAACTAGGGTAATTTTTGCGGAATTTATAAAGGAACTCGAATAAAAACTAAAAGTGCAAAGAGAGATTTTACGTGGAAAACTTCTTGGCCCTAATCAAGAAGAAAAACCACGACCACAAGGGATTTTAAACTCAATTCTTACTAATAACAGGGCAAACAACCTATTAGAAATTAAGACTCTAAACTCAAGTTCCTCTATGAACTTAAGCTCCCTTCAACTGATCCCTCAATCAGTCGAACTTCTCAAACTCTCTCTTTCTCCTTGCTTCACTCAAAGCAATAAAACACTCTTAGAGTTTCCCCAAACTCTAACCCAATACAACTCAAAGATTAAACTCTAAATTGCTAAGTACAAAGACACTCAAGAACTTAAGTGGATTATGACTCTTTTTAAAAGCTAAAAGACTGTAATGCTCAAGTGTAATTTTCCAACTGAAAACCGATCTTATTTATACTATAGAAGGGAAGTTAAAACACTGTCGTTTGCCTCAACTCCCACTAAGTCATTACTTCCATAAAACTAGGAAGTGCAGTTCGTGGGTGCTTGGGCAGCAAGCTAAACGTTTTAAGGAAGTGGTTTACTGTTTCCTATTTTCTCTCAACTTCCTTGACCAAGTAAAACAACCTTTTTTAAAGAGTATTTTCCAAATAAGATTTTCCAAAATAATAAGATAGAATCAAAACAGAAAATCTTTTTAACTAACAAGATATTTTAACTCAAAAGATATTTTTCGAAATTAAATTAAAACAAGTTAAAATATGGAAAATAAAATCTTTATCAAATAAAATTAAATCCACTTAAATCCTATCAATTGACAATGTACGTAACATAATTACAAGTAGCCTAAAGTAAAGATAAAATACATTAGACCCCTTGATACTCTGAAAAGCTTCTACTTAAGCTTCAGTTCCTCACCCAAGGAACTTTCCTTTGAAGCTTCAATTCTGGAGCTCCAGTTCCTTATATAAGGAACACGACTTGATTGACTTCTTTATCCTTCCATGGCTAGCTTAGATCTTGTTTCATGCTCCCTTCTTACTCAAGAATTTCCTAGCATAAACCTGTCATAAATCAAAGCTAAAACCGAAGGTTAAACTTGTTATAGGTTTGCTTAGGTTCCTTGAGTCATCATCAAAACATAAGGTCAACAGTCTTCTTCTTTTCCTCCATCGCGTTGTTCAGGTAAATTTTAACTAATTGATGATTCCTTGGTACTCTATTCGTGTTTTGAAGCCTTCAGACCTTGAAAGCAAAATGTGTAGTTTTGTAGCACTTTGATGATTCCTTGGTACTCTATTCGTGTTTTGATTCTGGATACAAACTTACGGGTGTATGGAAATTCTGTTATAATCACGGCTTGAGGATATCTGTTTAAGCTGCCTGTTCTGTATGCAGGTATTCAATCATTATTTCGAAGAATTTGAAGAGGAATCCCTGAGGGACAACTTTGTTGTTGTGGTAGGTACTAACAACAAACTTTAAAAACAGGACTTTACATATTACTCATATTAATCGTTAGAGCAAAAACTTTGATTGAATAGCTAGCATTTATGATATCATCCTTTTCAATACTTTTCCCTTCAGTATGAACTTCTTGATGAAATGATGGACTTCGTTTACCCTCAATACACTGAAGCCTTAATCCTCAGTGAGTTCATCAAAATGAATGCTTATAAGATGGAAGTTGTGTAGCGGCCACCCATGACTGTGACAAATGCAATTTCCTGGCGCTGTGAAGGGATTAAATACAAGAGAAATGAGAAACTGTATCTTTTTCTTATTCTTAGAGGCTACTAATGACTTTGTGAAGTATGACTGTATGATGCTTTACTCATAGCCTCTATTTTTTCGTTTTTCGTGATTCAGGATTTCAAGTCTTCTTGTGTGGTAGAAAGTGTAAACATATAAGTACTACTCCTTCTATTTTTTATTTAACTGTTCTAGTGCGAGTAGCACACATGCGAACATGCCAATGCGTAACTTTTAACTTTAGAGTTGTCCAAGGTAATCCAGTATTCCGGTCTGATGTGCTCAAATAGATGGACAAAATGAACATCTCTTGTGATTTTGTCTATAGATTGCTATTCATAGCGTGAATAATAAAACTTGGGCCTGAACACTAATGTGCCTCTTCAACATTAAATGAGCCAAACTGCACTTGGACCCGAAGTCTGAATGGGCTATTATATAACAGGTCCAAATGTGAAATTCATTTGGATTCCCAAACAAATACAAATTATAATTGAATCACTGATAATTCCATTAAGCCTTAGATATTTGATTTAATCAAATTGGTTTTTCTAACCAACATTCTTTCTTTTATTGTACTGGTGCTAACGCTAATCCTTCTTTTATTAGCTTATGATGGAGTACAAACTTAATTTTCTTGTCATTTGATTAAACTAATTAATATGTAATTACTAGGTTAGATCCCGTGCCAAGCACAGTTTTTCAACCTTTATCAAAAAAAAAAAGTAATCACTAATATAGGAATTTATTTATGCAAAGATATGGTTAGATATTTAAGTTAATAAATATATTATTATACGATTTTTGGAATTAAATATTTTGCGTATATTTTTTGTCAATTTTTAAATACTTTTATTTTTTTTTAAAAAAAAATATACTAAGGACACACCAGAAAATGACACGTGTCATTGCTGGTGTGTCTTTTAGTATATTTGTTATTGATGACGTTGAGAAAGAATATATTCTTGGACCATATCTTTTGCTTCTTTATCACTTTATAATTAAAAAGTATTTAGCAGATAATTATAACATTATTTGATTGGACCACCGTGCAATAGCAGAAATAAATCATAAATTCTGAAAGGCCCTCAACACTTGTATGAATTTTGAAACCACATAAATTAAATACGGAGTATAATGTTAGTTGCATAAAGGAAAGTTCACATAAAACCCAAAATAAATACTTTATGATCAACGTAAAGCTGCAGCAAATTTACAAAACATTGTCCTCAAAGCACGATATTTTAGAAAAAAAAAAGGACATTTTTTTTGTTTTTATATGAATGGACCCAATTGCAATTTTTGTTCATCTCAAATTAATAAAACAAAATGTTTTTTTTCCTTTTCTTTAATTTTTCATGTTCGAAATATTGTATTTAGAATTACCATGGTTATAAATTATAATAAATGCATATATAAGAGTGAAGGATATTTCAAGTGGTTAGAATTTCCTTCCCGATTACATGAGATTCTGAGATCAATTTTTACTTCCGAGTTTCGACCCTCGTGTCTCTCTAAACACTAAATACATATATATACTGTACAAGTTTTTATTTTTATAAGGGTCAAATTGGGAAATACAAGTGCCATAGAAACTTGAATATTCTGTGGAAGATGGCCAGAGCCCAGAGTGTAATCCAGGAACCAATGCCTGAGCAAACTACTGTTTACGCTCAATGATAAATGTGGCATATGTTGTTTGCCAGCTGCCCATTTTTGTTGCTTCTACAAGGCATCCCTATGAATTTTATTATATCCCTAGTTTATTTTTAGAAAAAGTTTTTTAAATTGTACGGTTTTAACAAATACAAAGTATAGTAGTGCAAAAAATGCAAATGGAGCAACCGAGCAAGTAATAAAATATAATACTACGTAATTACAATTGGTTAAGATGGTAAGAAATGATATTTTATATCCATGAGGTTTAGTGTTGTAACTCTTGTGAGTAGGGCATCGTACTATTTTTTTTATTTATTTATCTTACCTATTTTTTTAAAAAAGTAATAAATTGCGGTGAGAGTACGGGTCTGTTCTCATACGTTTATTTTCAGTTCAGTTCAATTCAGTTTAGTTCAACTCCTAATTTCCTTCTCTTATAAAATATTCAGTTCAGTTCAGTTCAGCTGATTTCAGTCTATTAGAAAAGGCCCTACTTGTATAGTCTTACTACATATTAACTTGCAAGATACTCTCTTTCAGTGAACAATTTAAACTCATCAATATGGATCCAAACATCCAACAATATCTCATTAACTAGTGTAGTAGTCTATTAATGCAATTAAATCATAGTTATATTAGATCAAATCATGCCTGACTTTAAAAGTTTAGAAAAAGCATATGAGAAAACCTAATTTGAGATGAAACACATGACATCCTTAATTAGGTTCAATATTTCAGGGGTTTTCTACACAGTAACTTTGTAATATAAGATTTTTCGAGTTGTGCTTCATGTTTTGGAAGTTACACAAAGTAACCCTTAGGTGCAATTAGTAGTAAATCTATAGTAATCTTGCCGTTTTACAACCTTACAAGGTTAGTATGGGTTAGCGATTTCTCTCTATACTGTTCCTTACACATTCCAAACAAATATTTTCTTCATACACTCAATATCAATCTTACTAAAAGTGAGCGTAACCAATAAAGATTAATTGAGATAGTACTGTTTTTTTTTTTTAAAGGTAATCATAGATTATATTGTAAAATTTAACCCGATAGGTGACCAGTTTCGACCCAATGTGTCCCGTCAACCCAAAATATTCCTAAATCAAGTTGACCGGGATAGAATTAATTATCACCATTGGCAAAGTTGACCACATGCATGAAAGAACATAGTATACCAATTACCAAATGGCAAAGAAGTGCTTAATTTTCAATTTCAAAATTGAACTTATTTATCTACAAGACTCTTCCTTCTTTTCTCATCAAATAATGATGTAAAACTTAGAAAGTGATATTACATTACTATTTACTACTACACATTTTATCTTGTCCATTAGTATAAAAACACATACTACCAAAATTTTGCATCAAAATCTCTCAGAGATACTAGAACTAGAATAAACTAGCAAGAAAAAGTGACAGATTACCAACAATATTAACCAAATTAATATAGTAACTTACTAAGCATAATCTTTATAAACTTCCATTTATAATTTCTTTCTGAAATATCCCTGTCAATCAAATGTCCTGTAGCTTCACTACTTGCTCAAAAATAGCAATTCAAAAAAGAAGAAATCCAAATATGAGGAGAGAGAATTAATATGCACACTTCTTCTTCTTCTTCTTATAATTCTGTAACTGAGCTTGAGACTGAGGATGATGCTCTAAAGCTCAAGCTTTTGCTTTCATGGCGGCTGCTTTCTGCCTCTTTCTTTCACTCATCTTCCTCTTTTCTCCATTTCCAGGTATTTTTCTCACATTTTGGCTCTTACCCTCTTCGTTTTTCTTCAATTTTTGCATACCCTTTTCACCATTTTGAAGGAAAATTTAAGCTTCTTCAGTTTTCAATAGTTTAATTGGTATGTTAAAACCTAGTTTTTGTCACCCATTAGCTGGTGGTGTTTTTATTGGTCAATTTTCAGTTTGATTCTGCTATGTTGAAGTTGAAATTTTTTTTTGAATTTGATGATTTTAGTTGAATTTAAGACAAATTAATGTGTTAGTTTACTAAATTGAGTGAAACCCAGTTTGGAATTGTGCTAATGAACAGTGATATGTTCTGTATGAATTTCAGCTCAAGGGGAAATAATAGCTGAAATTAAGCAAAAACAAGGGGAAGATGAACCCTATATTGGTGTAAACATTGGAACAGATGCTTCAAATTTTTTATCACCTTCAGATTTGGTATCTTTCCTTCAAGTACAGAAGATTAACCATGTGAGGCTCTATGATGCTGACCCTGATTTGTTGAAAGCCCTTGCTAAAACAAAGATTAGGGTCATAATTGGTGTACCTAATAACCAGCTTATTGCTATTGGATCCTCCAATGCCACTGCCGCGACTTGGGTGGGCCGGAATGTGGTTGCTTACTACCCTGAAACCACCATCATTGCCATTGCTGTGGGTGATGAGGTCTTGACCACAATGCCTTCAACTGCCCCTTTGCTTTTGCCTGCTATTGAGTCGCTTTATAGTGCACTTGTGGCTTCAAATCTTCATTCTCAAATAAAAGTTTCAACTCCACATTCGGCTTCACTGATTTTAGACCCTTTCCCACCGTCTCAGGCGTTTTTTAACACCTCTATGACTCAATATTTGTTGCCAATTGTGAAATTTTTGTCTAGGACTCAATCTCCTTTGATGATGAACTTGTATCCATACTATGTTTTTATGGAGAACAAAGGTGTTGTGCCTTTGGATAACGCTTTGTTTAAGCCTTTGACACCTTCCAAGGAAATGGTTGACCCTAATACTTTGCTTCATTACACTAATGTGTATGATGCTATGGTTGATTCGGCTTATTTCTCTATGAAGAACCTTAATGTCACGGATGTTGTAGTGCTGGTTAGTGAGACTGGCTGGCCTTCTAAGGCGGATTCCAAAGAGCCTTATGCCACTATGGACAATGCTGATACATACAATTCGAATCTCATCAAGCATGTTTTCGACAAGACCGGCTCCCCGTTTCACCCTGAGACCACATCTAGCGTGTATCTATATGAGTTGTTCAATGAGGATCTGAGGTCACCCCCAATCTCTGAAGCCAATTGGGGATTGTTTTATGGAAATACTACGCCGGTATATTTGTTACATGTTTCGGGAAGTGGGACTTTCTTGGCTAATGACACAACGAACCAGACTTACTGCATTGCCATGGAAGGGGTAGATACGAAGACTTTGCAGACAGCATTAGACTGGGCATGTGGTCCTGGAAGGGCTAATTGTAGCAAAATTCAGCCAGGAGAATCTTGCTATTCGCCCAACAATGTCCAGAATCATGCTTCTTATGCGTTCGATAGCTACTACCAGATGGAGGGAAAGTCTCCTGGATCCTGTGATTTCAAAGGCGTTGCCACGATCACTACCTCTGATCCTAGTAAGTCTTTCCACTTTATCTCAGCATCTTATTCTACGAGGAAATCTAATATTATATTTCCATTCTTTCCTGTGTGTAAATTAACCGGAAAGGCCATCATTAGGTACCTAATAAATTATTTTTGGCTTTAAACATGATTTTCGTCACTATCTTTAAGAAGTTTATGCTTGAATAACCTTGCTGTCTGAAGTCCAAAAGGCATACAGGATGGAATAGGAATTTGGTTTGCCACCAGTTCACTCTTCTATGCATTAAAGGCAGGGAGATGTTAACTGTTAAGTGTAAAGTTTAGTGAACACAATAAAGTCACTATGCATAACCTCTTGGTGAAGAATTGAAGGCACACTCTTTGGTTATTACTTTTGTTATTGCTTAATTTTTATAGGCGTCTTATTACAGATTAAAAAATGGCTTTAACTATGTCGGTAAATCACTCGTAGCACGAATGTGTAGGTGTAAAGTCTAAAAATAGTTCAAATCTTTTAAAGCATGATTCATGCTGCTAATCCTGTCTTTTTATTTAAAAACAAGGAAGAATCTTTTCAGTGATGTTGATTTTCTAACATCATGAGCACATTTGTTCTTCAGTGAAATTCTGTTTGATTTTTCCAGTCTTTCTTTATCACATTATGTTTACCAAATAGGGTGACAGTTTAAAGAATAAGCTGCATGATGACAATGCAGAAAATGAGAGATGTTGGGGTCTATAACAACAGTCGGGCATAGGAAAAGTCCTATGCCTTAAAAAGTTAGCTAATGAACACTAATATGCCCTCAACGAACCAAACTATGGTTAGCTTTTAGTTAAGGAGAGAATAAGAGCATTGTAGGATTTTCGCCCCCTTGTATAATTGTTAGCCATTTAGCCTAACTTGAACCAAATTTGCATAACAACACTACAAAAGACAAAATATAAAAGTGGGTTCCGCCATACGATATTTTTTCTTAAAATACAACATGCCCATCCATTATTATTTCTCGTCTTCTACTTTATATAATATTGTTTAACATATTGCTTGAACATGTTTAGTAACCTAGTTAACACACATTTGCTAAGAAAACCACACAGTTATGGTTGCAACTTGCAATTTTGCAAACAAGAGTCTCCAAACTATCGGACTAGAATTTGATTAGTGAGAACAATTGCAAAAGAAGAGCAAGTTTTTCTAGCCTAAAAAGGGGAAGAATAACTGCTAAAAGTTTAAACTTTATTTCCCCCGAGTTGAGGCCCAATTTAGAGGGAATTGGGTGAAAAAAGATTAAAGATGACACCTTTTCATAATCTGGAAATCTTAAATATAAAAAACTAGTATTAATTTGCTGATGCTTTGTACTGGAAATACTTGACAAATGGAGCCCAATTATAATTTGTCTGAGTCTGACTGCATCTTTTATGGAGTGCATCATGCAAAACAGCAAAAATAGTCTGGCTTTTTGTTAAGTTGGAATGACCTAATATGTTTTATTATATGTTGGGCATCTTGCTACTGAAAATGTCAATGTAACTAGTCCAATATTATGCTAGTATTTTTTTGTTTTTATTATTATTTTCATTTTTTATTTTGGCACTTATACATTTCTATTTATCTGAAATTTTGTAGGTCATGGGAGCTGCATATTTCCTGGAAGGTGAGTGAAAAGAAATCTGGTTTACCTTTGATATTGAATGTTCCCAACTTGAGAGTAATTTGGTATTTGTGAAGGGTGCTTTTAACGACGTTCTATTAAGAAATCTGTCTAAAAACATAATTGAGGTGATTCGATCCAATAATAAAAATTTACTCATATCTTCCTTGGCTGTACAATCTGAGCGAGCCTTGGCTGTAAATTCATTTAACAAGTGACCAAAGGGCAATTTGCCATCTATGTCAGAAACTTTGATGATATTTTCTATTGACAAATTACGAGTAGAATTTTTACTAACAAGTGTTATTGTATTTCTTCGTGTGCAGCAAGAAGGAAGGAAATAACACAAGAGAGGTGGTAAATTCAACTCAAGTTACTAGTGGATCATTCTTGAGCTATGGAAGCAATCGAAAAAGTTTAATGGATAGTTTCCTGACATCTTTGTGTACTATTATGTTTCTGTTATCCAACTCATATTTCTAGTAAAGTAGCTGAGGATCTTTAGGTACATAATGATAGAAGGTAATTTTTTGGGCAACTGTAATATCTTGTTGTAATTTATTCGATATGGTGTAGGTAATATGGTATTAGTAAGGATAGTTATTTATGATCCTGCCGAATTAACTGAACTTTAGAGGAGCGTCGTTTGGAGGTTTGCTGAGTTTATACTTGTGATGTTTTTGGTATGCATAGCATAGTACTCTATTGAAACAATAATACTCATTCGGTATAAACTTGGATGGTGGGTGCTAGATGACTAGATGTCTAAACATAGATATCGCCCAAGGGCCAAGGTCATTAGTAATATGGTATACATAAAGCGAGCACTTCGTTATAAAGGTTTGCTAAGAAATCCTCTCATAACATATTTACATCATCTTTTGGAAAAGGAAGGGATCGAAAATTGACAATCCTCATGGCTTCTGATTCTCACAAACACTTTTTATAGTTCTCCCTCTATATCGGAGTGGCTAAAAACTAAAAAGGTAGTTGAAGAAGAAATTATATGTCACACCTACTCATTCGACTATTTGCAAATCTACAATCGAAAAATTTGATCATATATGGATTTCACTTCAGCTCCTAATTTTCTTTTGTCATCAAATATTAGCTCAGCTCCAATCATTTCAGTTAAGTTCAATAAATGTGAACATATCCTTAACGAATACTGTATATGTTAAATTAAACCATACAAGTACATTTTTTCCTATCAAGTACATAATACTTGCAATTTTCCATTATATAGCCCATGACCAAAAAATGCCTTTTTAATAAAAAAAAAAAAAAAAATCCCATAATTAAAAACATTCAAAATTCAAATGTTGTTCACTCTTCTTCGACCTCAACTCTCTTCTTCTTCCCTCCCTCATCTTCTTCAAATTCAACCCACCAAAAACCCTAACAAAACCCTTAAAATCCCTAATCTCAAATTCAAATTGCTCTTTCCTTTTTCATCAATCATGTCTTCTTCATCTTCTTGGGCTTGCTCTAAATGCACTTTTCTCAACCCATCTTCCCAAAAATCAAACTGCCAAATTTGCCAAACCCCATTTTCTCTCTCCTCTTCTTCATCACCCTCCAAATGGGCTTGTAAAGCTTGCACCTTTCTCAATTCTTACAGTCTTTCAAATTGTGAAATTTGCGACACTCGATCCAATTTACAACAATTGGATTCTATTGACCCGGATGATGATGATCTTTCCGGAGTTTCTTCTGTGGGTTCAGTGTTTTTTCCATTGCGCCGTTGTAATTCGGGTCGGGTTCAAGAACCGGATGATTTGGGTATTAAAGAAAACGGTCAATCTCAAATGGGTGTTGCTCAATTTGCTGATCAAGTTGTTCATTTGGGTGGGCTTCGGAATTCGGGTTCTAATAAGCGTAAATTTCATGACCTAGGTTCTGGTTAGTATGAACTAAACTTTGTGTTAGTTTTTTACTTTATTTTTTTCATAGTTTGTATGTTTGATTGATTGTTAATGTTTGCTTTATTGGCATAATATTGTGCATGATATAATATTTTAATTAAAGTGTCATATTGTATCAAATGAGATACTTGATCAAGTATTCTGTATTCATTATGTTTTTGGTAAAGTGGAGAGCTTTGAAAGACGATAATGTATTGTACTTCGTATTATATAGTACACGTGATTGAATCCCGTGACTTACGCTCTCAAATGACTTAACTAAGAGAGTTGACATCCACAAAATATTTACTTATGCTCCATTGGTCCCTACTAATTATAAAATGATATAGTAGTAAGTACTAAACATGTGCAATAAACATTGTTTTATTTTACTCTCTTAGTTTTTACTGGTAGTTAACTTCATTTCTTTATTTTGATTGATAATTAATAACCTAATCATCAGTACGTGATAATAGTTTTTTATTTTGGCAAATTGAATTCATTCCATGCATTAGCACAAGTATACTCTAATATTATATACGGAGTAACACGGATTATTGCCGGGTTATGGCAACTTTTGGCGGGCAAAACCCTTAACAAGCCAAAACATTTGTACCATCAACAAAGAGAAAGAAAAGATAAGGAAAAAGAGGGTGCCTTGACTAGTAGCAAAGAAAAAAGAGAGGAGCATTATGACTTTATGACCAATTCACGCGGTTGATATGGGTACCACTGTACCTAAAAACCCTAGCTTTCCCTCTCTTCTATAAATCCAAGCTTTCAATTCATTTTCTATCAATGTTCATTATTTCCTTCCAAAATTCCAAGCATTGGTGAAATGAGCAAAGAGAAGTAGTGGGAATGGGAGATTAGTCTACAGGAAGTAATGGGTATGGTGTGCTTGGGAAGGAGTGTGGAATCCAATTCCCTCATTTTTGGGTTTTGGAATGAAATTCCTTCCCAAGACCCCCCATACCAATGATTTTCTGTGGGTTTTCCCTTTCCCAGACTTTTCACATTATTTTGTTTCTAAAGGTTTAAACTTTTTCTGGTTTTCCTTATGCTAGTATTTATTGGCCTAAGATCATATATTTTGGCTGATTTTGATATTTCTAGTCTATGATCAAATATGGGTTATTTGCAGTCTTATGTTAAATTTCATTTCTGGCTATTGGTGGATTTATTTATATTTATATTTATGTGATTGATCTCTTATATTAATCTGTCATATACTATATTTAGCTCTAAGTCTGTGCTTTTGTCTTTTAAACTTTGTGGTTGTTTGTACAAGTGTTAGCTGCTATCACAGGATCTTAATATTGTCCAAATTTAACTTTCTTATAACACAAATTGGACTCTCTGAACTCATACTAAACTTGTAATTAACCCCTACTAACTTCTAATGGTATCTTGCTTGACTCTTTTGAGCATGATTTATTAAGCCGCAAAGTAATATTCTGTTATTGTTATACTTAAATTTTCCTGTAAACCTTGAACATCTGTTGTAATTGTAATCCGTATTTGCTCAGACTTGGGACTTTGGGAGCTTTTATCAGAAATATGAAACATTAGTGTCAGTATTTGACTAAGACTTGGATATTTGATGAATATATTCCTTGATTTTGGGTTAAAATGAAGTAAAGTGTCCATAAGTTCATACCTGTGTTTTGGTGTCAACTGTCAAGACATCGGCACTTGTCTACTTGATGTAATTTGAATAGTCTGAGTAGCATTGTTGCATAGGTAGAAACATTGTTAGTTCGTACTTGATGTTTTCAAACTCACACAGACTGATGTATACTTGGTATGATTTACCTTTGATGGACTTCAAGAATTAGTTTAACTTGAAGTAGTAGGCTACTTGGTATATTTAGTGAATAGCTACTATTAGAAGTTAGGGGGTTAATTTCAGCAATCAACATAAATCGTTTTGCTACCCTTAAGCTATCCAAAGGTCATGTAAATGTTTTTTTTTGGGTGGATGGTGATTCAAAGCCTCCTTATATGTTTAAGATGTACTAGGTATGACATGGTTACTTAAAGTCAGACTACTTACGTTACTTGTCATGATTTGGAGCAACTGAATCATGCGGCCCTTCATTGCATGGATTCCCTTTATTCATATTTTCAGCGATATCAATTAAGACTGATATTAGCTGATACGGGTGTATAACAGAGGATTGATTCCAGTGTGCATTGTCTTATAGTTCACAGTTTACTTGTCAAAGAGAAATGTTAAATTATACCCAAGCAAACTGTTTTATACAAAATGTAGTAATTAACTTTTTATTACAGTACTGTTTTATACAAAATGTAGTAATTAACTTTTTATTACAGTACTGTTTTATACAAAATGTAGTAATTAACTTTTTATTACAGTGTTTACTAAACACTTTGTTTGATCCAATGAATAGGAATAGTTCCCGCAATTGTGTACTAACTGGAACTTCCAATTGATCTTTAAATAATACATAGTTAGGTCGGTGTCTTATCTCATCTTCATATACACTTAAATATTGAATGGCCAAAAGGTGAGCTTCAACTTTGTGCGATCCAATTGATTGCCTGTAGGCTGTTGCTAACTCTGAATCTTATATATGGATGGCTCAAAGTGCTCTAATCCGCTCTTTGTCATACTCCTCTTTTTTTTATTCTTATCTTAGGCCACTTGCTGCTTGCTCCAATTCATCTTTATGAATTTTAGAGCTAACACCATCCTTCTTGATCCCAGAACCAAAATAAATGGATAACATAAATACACGCATGCAAATTCGGAAAAAGATTTTATCTGCATTCAGATGAATCTTAGGGCTCATACTTGCACGTTTATAAGTTTCTCATGCCTTCCATGTTTAAATTATTTGTGGAATTTAAGCTGTGCATTCCATAAGGTTTTTTAATGTTAGACTATTTAGCTCCATATAGAAAGTTTAGGAAGTTCCACATGGACTACATCCTTCAGGAAGTTTCCCTTTACCTGTGGAATTAGGCAAGAAACTTGTTCCATACTGCTGAATGCAGAATTTCATGTATCTTTGACAATTACTCATTTCCTTCATTTTTTCTTCTCTGCCAAACCACCAAGTCTGTCGTCTAATCACTAATTTTCATATATGTAGGTGTTTGAACAACAATTGTTTGTTATAGGATCCTGTAGAATAATGTTGCTGAGCTTTTTGTTATGAATAATCACATTGCAAGATATAAATCAATATATCTATCTAAGACTAGTGTACGGGCATTTATTGCAATGATTTCACAACTTACAACAGTGGGAGGATAATGGGGGAATGTTTCATTCCAAACGAGGTTTTATGATCATGAATGCACATAATTACTGGGTGATTTGTATGGCAGATAACGCTGATGCCGTCAGTTGTCTTACTACAAAGAAAGAAGAAAAGACTGTTGCAACTAAGAGTTCAGAGTTGGCAAAGATTGCTGACAGTGCTGTGGGCAATGTCTCATTCAAGAGGAAACTCTGTGATTTAGGTGGTTTTATTGAGAAACCCATCATATTAGATGGCTTTCGCGGAGTTAAATCTTCCAGGAAGATTGTTTCAGTTGAAGGTTAGTGCGAAACTGCGAATTTTGTAGATTGCTTTGAAACTCATATAAATTGCTTCTTTTAAATTTCTAATTCCCAGTTGATTTCTTATATCCACTTCTGAAGCTAAACCAACTCAAATTTCAAATACTTCCACAGAGTTTATTGATTAATTTGATATTGTTAACAAATTTGTGTTGTCTTCCTATCTGTAGTGATTTTTTTACCTGCCGCTTAGTTGTTCTTCCTATTCATTTGATGAAATTATGGCTCTCTACAGTTCTTACTACTCAAGTTCTTTGCAGAATATAGTTCATTTTGGGATGTGATTAGATTCGGCTAAAAGTGATGTGATTTTAATTTGTGCTTCAGATTCTGAAAATGGCTTTGACTTAGCGAAGGTTGGAAAGGCCAAAGCAGGTACTTCAGATTCCAAGGAAATAGCTGAAGATACTGAAATTGAGGAAGTTTCAGGTGTGATAAAGATCCTTTCTTACAATGTGTGGTTCAAAGAAGAATTAGAGGTGCATAAAAGGATGCAAGCAATTGGTGACCTTATTGAGCTACACTCTCCAGATGTTATTTGTTTTCAGGTTTCTAATTGTGGCTTTACCATTTCATGAGATGGCTGCTGTTTATTTCTATGATTTCTAGCATCTGTAAGTTAATTCTCTATGACTTTTTAGGAGGTCACTCCCAATATCTATGACATTTTTCGAACTTCTGCGTGGTGGAAGAAGTATCAGTGTTCTGTCACCTATGAAAGGGCATCCTCTGAGATGTACTATTGCATTCAGGTGATTAATTCCAGCTCCCCTCTTATATCTTTTCACCAGGAATCATTTTACGTAGCAAGTTGTGATTATGCTAGCAGAATTCCCACACAATTTTTTCATCTTTTCTTCTTCACAAGTTCTATTTTATTGTGTTTCTGTTGGTAATCTAATCCCCCCCCCCCCCCTCACCCCCAGACATCAGATTTTGAGCTCTTGAAGACATTTTTTACCTAAAAAACTACTTTTACCGGGAAAATTACTGAATGATGGGTTTCGGATCCCAATATGACTCGAAAAACTGATCTTATATCCTGAATTTGCCCGTCCAAACCAGACCTGGACTATGACTTGAGCTTTGACTGGTCTATGTGACTTTGTGACTATTGTGGTTTGTAAGCTTTTTTAGTCTTATGTCTACTGATTGCTAATTGTTGTGACTCCTAATTCTTCCATTGTCATTTGACCATATCAATGTCCCTGCATGTTGAACCTTTTTTTGTCAATGATCCAATTAATGAATTCCTCAAATCTATGAATATAGTCCAATGATTTCCTCTGCAGTTCTAAACTAACAGCCCAATTATTTCTCTTCATCTGTAGCTTATAATTTAATTATTTTTCTCTGCAGTTGGCCAAACTTCCTGTAAAATCATTCCGCTGTAAACCATTTAGTAACTCACAAATGTGCAGAGATTTGGGTGTAGCTGAAATCGTAGTGAATCAGAACAAGTCGCTGGTGGTTGCTACTAGCCATCTTGAGAGTCCTACCCCAGGACCCCCAACATGGGATCAAATGAACAGTAAGGAAAGGGTTGAACAGGCAAAGGAGGCCATAAACCAGCTTAAAAGACATCCGAATGTCATATTCTGTGGTGATATGAACTGGGATGATAATCTTGATGGCAAATTTCCATATTTGGAAGGATGGTTTGATGCTTGGGAGAGGCTGAGACCTGCTGAGATGGGATGGACATACGATACTAAGTCCAACAATATGTTGTCTGGAAACCGTAAATTGCAAAAACGGCTTGACAGATTTATTTGCCACTTGACTGATTTTAAGATCATCAGCATAGATATGATTGGAACTGAGGCAATACCAGGTGTGACATTCAGCAAACAGAAGAAACTGAAGAACAGGATTCAAGAATTGATTCTTCCAGTTTTTCCTAGTGATCACTTTGGTTTACTTTTGACCATTACTTGCAGTTAAGTAGTACGATGGCCAAAATTTTGTATAGGACAGCAGGGTTATATCTTACTACGCCAATTTTTCCCTTTCTCCATGAATGTTGGCGTTGCTTAGGCAGCTTTTTTGTATAGCCGGAATGGATGCATTTTTGCAGAGATTTGTGCTCTGAGATCTTGTACATGAATCTTCAGAGAGATTAAAATGAATGATTTTAATTTTTTTCAACTCTTTCATTGTAATGAAATATGTTTTGGATACAAGATCTATTTGCTGCAGTAACTTCTTGCTATTAAGAGTATTAACGGGTTTTAAGGATCGCTGTCTTTAGTACAGCCTCTCCTAACTCGTGATCCAAATACTAGAACAATTCATAAGTTCATACATTATTATGTACACTAGTTAACTGTTTCATTTAAAAAAAAAGGTGTAAAAATGCGGTGAGCGTGGATCGAACACGCGACCTTCAGATCTTCAGTCTGACGCTCTCCCAACTGAGCTATCCCCGCAAGTAATTAATCATTATAACGAAAAATATATAATGAATTATAATACGGAGTACTTTAAACATTATATCTAATGATAATTAAATATAATGTGCTCATCTCTTGAATATATTGAGCTTCACTTAAATAGTTTTCGAACTAGATAGACTCATTAACACCTATATCTTCAATTTTGGAAATTTTTGACTTTTTTTTCGCCCGAAAATAAAAATTGCCGAAAAGTTTACCATGGTCCCTAATACCCTCTGGGAGTCTAATTGAGTGGGTGAAACCATCCAATTTGCCTTTAAACGGCCAATTTACCGGTTTACAACTTGCACCGATTTCATTAACTTAAGCCTACCACGAACATCTATGACAACATATAATGATCATATATGGTTCCAAACGGCATTATATGACCCCCAGATGTATTCCCTAAAAACTTAAGACTTTGCGACACCGGACCCCGAAACTCCAAAATTTCTCAAAAAGCGTGGACATAGCCTTCAATTTTGGAAATTTTTGACTTTTTTTTGCCCGAAAATAAAAATTGATGAAATGTTTACCATGGTCCCTAATACCCTCTGGTAGTCCAATTGGGTGGGTGGAACCATCCAATTTGCCTTTAAACGACCTATTTATCGGTTTACAACTTGCACCGATTTCATTAACTCAAACATACCACGAAAATTATGACAACAAATAATGATCATATATGGTTCCAAACGACATTATATGACCCCGAGATATAATCCTTAGAATCTCAAGACTTTTTGATACCAGGCCCTAAAACCTCCAAAATTTCTCCAAAAGCGTGGATATTAGCCTTTAATTTTGAAATTTTTAGACTTTTTTTCGCCCAAAGATAATAATTGCCGAAATGTTTACCATGTTTCCTAATATCCTCCGTGAGTCCAATTAGGTGGGTGGAACCATCCAATTTGCCTTTAAACGGCTTATTTATCGGTTTATAACTTGCACCGATTTCATTAACTCAAGCCTACCACGAACATTTATGACAACAAATAATGACCGTATATGGTTCCAAACGGCATTATATGACTCCGAGATGTATCCCTTAGAATTTCAAGACTTTAAACACTGGGTTTGGAATCCTCTAAAATTTCTCAAAAAGCGTGGATATTAGCCTTCAATTTTGAAAATTTTGACTTTTTTCCCCCAGAAATAAAATTTGCCAAAATGTTTACCATGGTCTCTAAGATCCTCCGGGAGTCCAATTGGGTGGGTGGAACTATCCAATTTGCTTTTAAACGACCTATTTACCGGTTTATAACTTGCACCGATCTCATTAACTCAAGAATACCACAAACATTAATGACAACAAATAATAATAATATATGGTTCCAAACGACATTATATGACCCCGAGATGTGTCCCCTAGAATTTCAAAACTTTTCGACAACAGGCCCGAAACCTCAAAATTTCTCAAAAAACAAGGATATTAACCTTCAATTTTGGAATTTTTTACTTTTCTTTACCCGGAAATAAAAATTGCCGAAATGTTTACCATGGTCCCTAATACCCTGCGGGAGTCCAATTGGGTTGGTGAAACCATCCAATTTGCCTTTAAACGACCAATTTACCGATTTACAACTTACACCGATTTAATTAATTCAAGCCTATTACGAACATTTATGACAACATATAATGATCATATATGGTTCCAAACGGAATTATATGACCTCGAGATGATCCCAAATAATCAATAATCACATATACAAGCACTCAAACTAACATACAGTATTTTATACTTAATATTCATAGGTCGAGGAAAATACAAAGAAATTACCACTAAGTATAAAATAATCTAAACTCCATATTATATTTTCTAAATATTGTTATACAATGAAACAAATACGGTCGTCCCAAGTTAAAACATGTGATATCCAGCCAGGCTTACAGTAAGAGCTCAGTTTTTGTTTTTTTTGACGGTGATTTTTATTTGGCCAAAATTTTCCGTCAATCACTATCTTATTCTCACCTATATCTAAGCTTAATTTATTTGTACATTGATATATATATTTTTAATATAAGGAGAAATATGACCCGACTTCAATCCTCATGATTTTATAATTCAGTACTTGCGTGTTAAATATTTTAAAGTGAAGAGATAGGTAAAGTCGTAAGGAATCCCCACCTCTTAAGTATCTCCAATACCTCAAGATTGAAAGGTGTAAAATTTACCACCAGTCACCAGACCAAATTTAGCTTGATTTGTATACTGAACTTGGATAACTCACCTTAACCTTATTAACTTAAATATATTTCATTAATTTCTTTTTTTTTTCCTTTCTTTCTTCTGATTTTCAATAATTCTTCATGTCACGAGTATAATTTCGTCTCCCTTATGATGGTGATATTCATTAATAATAACTAGATAAATTTTATGTAAATTAAATCACGTCTATACAAGATTTATATCCCAATGTTGAAGATGGTACAAACAACGAAATAAGAGGGCAATAAAATGTATGTTCTATGAGTAATGATCATAAATTTTTAAATCTAAATCTTTTTAAGATGTTGACTTTTTATTAACAAATTAATTTAGTAATAATTAAAAAAAAAAAAATCCATTTCTCTAATTGTATCAAATACACGTATAGTGTCATTTAAGCCATCATTATTTCAACTAGCCTTATATTTCCACTTGTCAATTCCTTCAACTGAGTTTAGCCAGTTTTACTAATCACCCCAAAATAGAATATAATAATACTCGTATTAAAAATTTCAATCAACTGTTAAATTAGTTGACAAAATTTCATAATATATGATACCATTAATGATCACAGCTAATGAGCTCTTAAATTCATTCTATTATACAAAAATTAAAATTTAATGTAAGTCAGAGGTTAGGCCATTTCAATGAGTGGGTTCTACCATAATAAGTCACCCCATCTTCTACACTTCTTTTGTGCCACTTCTCACACTCTCAAACTTCAACCCCCCACTCTCTCTCTACATTTTAGAGAGAGAAAGAGATCTACTAAATAATTTCACTATAAATTGGGAAGATTTCCCAAAAAAGTAAAAATATACCCACAAAAATATACTTTAAGAAAACCAAGAAATGGGAGAAAACAGAGCACTCTGTTTTTCAAGTTTAGTAGTGTTTCTTGTTCTTCTTGTAAATGGCATCAATGGTGAAAACCCATATAGAATGTATGACTGGAAGGTTACTTATGGCTATGTTTATCCCTTGGGTGTCAAACAACAAGTAAGTTCTTTTATCCCATCAATTCGTCTCTAAAAGTTCTTCTTATTTGGACGGTCATTGTCTGATTTGTTACACCTAATAAGTCAATACAAGAAGAACTTTAGGAGACAGAGAGAATATCTAATATTCTTGTAATTGTTTCATTGAAAATTTATGTTCATGATTTTGTTGTGAAATATGATGCTACATTTATTTTCTAGTTGAAAGATACTACATTATTGATTTGTTTGCACTAAAATAGTAAGTGATGCTTAATAATTAGATCTGAAAATAATAGTGTTATCATAAATATGGCAAGTTTTTATATAGAAATCTAAACTAACATATACTTGTTTATTTATATTTACTTTTAGTAATTGTTTTGTTATTATGGTGTATTTCTCATAATGCAACTTTCTAACTAGGGATTTAAGAATGGCCAAATTAATACTGTAAAAGACAATAGAGGTTATTTTATTCCTACTTTCCATGCAAGGTTTGATCTAATCGATATAAAGAATTTTTTTTCAAAAAGTTGTATTCTAAAAAATATCCACATCAAATGGACCGTCTAATTACTAGAGAGTTACTAGAGAGAATCCGTTACTTGAGAGAATCTCCGATCCCATTTGGATCGGAGATAATAAACTAGCAAAACCAACAAAGAAAGACAACTAACAGTCTACCACATTATTAGATAGGCTATAGTGCTATACTTTAGGGCATGTTCTCTTCAACTTAATTTCAGTTCACTTCAGCTTCGTCCAGTTCCTAGTTTTTTTTTTTCTCATAAACAATTCATTTCAATTCAAACTAATTTTAGATTTATTAATCTACTTTGTATATCAATTGAGTGTGAAGTGATTCATGTAGATATGATAGTACGAAATTAATGTTAAATTTTAACGTATCTAGATCAAACATGTGATATGTATTGAAACCTTTTACAGCTAGCTCAGTCATTTAGTTGTGTCAGTGAATTTTTATGGGTCCAATTTCTCATTTACTAGTTTTTTTCCTAATTATTTTGGCATTATTAGCAAATTTGTAGTTGGATATTCATGTAATGACCTAGGGAGTACAAATTGGATCTTAAAACTAAGAGCATTTTTTGACGTCCAATTTATATCACATGATTTAACTAACTCTAACATTCATTTCAAACCTCTTAGCATTAATTTTTTAATATACAATTTTGGGTTCATAGTGTTAGTGAAACTCTTTGTACATCTATAGATTTACTATTAAAAAAAAAAAACCAAATATAAGCTTCAAGATTCGTGATCAATTGTATTCCTATGCAGCCTATCAATAACTATATCCGATATAAAGTGTAGACACAAACTCTATCCGATATAGTTTTAGACTACTTTTAGGGGGTGATAGATTACTAGATTGGGAGAGAATTCTGTACATATCAATGTTTTGAGGATAGCTTATGCCGCCATAAGATTGTTGCTAGATTAGATTAATAGAAATCGCGAAATTTACTCTAGTCCTTGATTGAGCTTGTACTTGGTCCTTTTAGCTGCTTCATATGACTACATGAGCTTGTTAGATGTATACGTATACAAGTTTTGACCTATATTTGATAGATTATATAAACTGATCCTGAACCATCTGTGTTATGATAGAATAAAGATACATCGTCTCAAACACTTGTATATATAGTTTTCAAGTACTTCACTGAAATGTTGTTTACTATAGATTCATTAATAACCATAAATTAATTTTTACAAAAGCACAAATATCATTAATTTATATCGACGACGGTTTTGCTTCTAAATTACTAGTACTATTTGATAGAGTATATAAGCCGATCCTGAACCATAAGTGTTTGACCCTATTTTTGTAGAAATGTGAAAACGTTTCAAAGACATTCCAAAGAAATTTAGAATAGAAGACAGAATAAATACAACACATTAGTGAGACAACTTTATAAATTACTACCACTTCCAAATTTCCAATAGTACTTAATTCTTTTCACCCACACAACCTCCACTCGTGAATAACCAATCTATGAGCGGTGATTCTGTGACCAAACATCTATTAGGCTTTTACACTTATAAATACAATTGCTCAAACTAGTTAATTAGACTAAAGAAAATAACCCAAAAACAATGAGAGAATGCAAATCACTTTCCTTCTCAACCTTACAACTACTCTTCCTTCTCCTTCTCCTTCTCCTAGTAAATGTCATCTATGCCGAAAGCCCTTATCGATTTATCTACTTAAAAGTGCATTATGGCATTCGTTACCCTATGGGTGTAAGGCAAAATGTACGTAATCCTTTTCTGTATATGTATATTAGTGATCTATGGAGGTTCAGATGTATGCAATCTTTTTTTTTTTTTTTTTTTTTTTTTGCTAATGCGCGTAATAACTAGCTAGTTGATTCCGGTTTTAATATGTTTGAGTTATGTGTTTGTTTTGCCAGGTGATTTTGATCAATGGACAGTTTCCAGGGCCACAAATTGACTGTGTGACCAATGACAACTTGATTATAAGTGTTCATAATTACTTGAATGAACCATTCCTTCTTTCATGGTAACTAACTACTACACCTATCAATCTCTTTATGTTTTATAGTATTTTTATGAATCCCTAAAGATTCTATACATATCTTCATTGAAATACTAATTTATGAGTATTATAGATTTATAGATCAAGCATTTAATGTAGATGCCATTTTTATATTTTATGGCAAAGATTTGTGGAAACTCGATTTTTAGCAGTTTAGCACTAACTCGTATGAAATGTTCATAGCAATGTACATTTCAAAAATAAATAAATAAATGAAATTCCTATATTATTAAATATTTATCTAATTTATTTTTTCAAATTTACTATCCATTTGGACATTTGGAAAGCAGATTGTTAAAGACGTTAATAATAATGTGTTTATGAGAGTGAGGGATAGCTCAAGTGGTTAGAGTTCCCCTCCGGGTTTCAGGAGATTTTGGGATCGATTCTCACCCCCGCCCTTGTGGCTCTCTAAATACCAAAAAAAAATAAAAAAAAAATAATATGTTTATATTTATATTTGCAAAAATAATTAAAGGTTCATGTTTATATAATACGGAGTACTATGTTCAATAATTTGTGTGTGTGTGTGTTTTTTTTCATTTTTATCACCACTCGATACCAATTATTAAAAAAAAATGTTTTTGGAGAAGAAGAAATATTTAGTTGTCTATTGTTACAAATTTACAATAGGACAATGTAGTGAGACAAGTTCAAGAGAATAATGTGAAAGGTAACATGCATGAGCTAGGTAATCATTGACTAATTGCTGATAGCAAAATGTCATCTGTTAAAGTTAGAGATCATAATGTCTTAACTTGCTAATTATGAAATTAAAATTGATTAGTAATCAAGTTAATTGGTAATTATATATCATGTTATAAAAAGTAATTTCTATTTTTACTAATTTTATATTTTGACAGCTTATAAATAGTTTGAAGGTAGTAGCATATTATAAAATTATATACTATTGATACTTCACTCTTCACATTACTTTTTAACAAGTGTAGTATGAGTAACAATAGTGTAACATAATTAGTTAATGGCTTGACGTAAAATCTAAGAAATGTTGTAAAATTTGACTAATAAATGAACATGATGAGCATATTATATAGTCCGTACATAATGTTTTATACTAACATTTACAATGAACAAAATATGTGTACTCCAAACTTCAATGTACGGAATATGATACAATCATACGATATTACATTACGTATTGGTGTAAAATATTTCTTTTTTACGAGTAATATTAAACGGAACGGAAGTACGGATCAGAATAGTATTTTATAAGGAGTATCTATTCATATTTAAAAACGAAAATCATTTATGTGTATTTCAGTACTCACGTGGGATCCACACACGTGATTAGATCTATGGTGCCGACTAATTTAGACAGAGCATATGATTTGGGTAATGGGCGCACGTGATATCTAACACGTAGGTCAAGATGAAGCACTAAGCATAATCCTTTTCTTTTAAGGAATTATTATTATTTTATGTTTATAATGGTCTGTCATTCCACTAACTTAATTGGGCTTTACGTTGTCATCACTCTCATCACTTTACTCACTACAAATTTCAGCTTTTTTCAACTTTGTTTTTTTGGGCCTTTTGGGTTTTTTGCTCCAATCTTATTGTGTGCTATACACTTGCTGCTACTCATTCTATCAATACATTTTTTGTATTGTAGCGTATTCCCTCCGTCTCAAATTACTTGATTAATTTGACTTTTAATAGTCTTCAAATTATACATTAATGTGATTTAATGACTATTTTTAATTGCATAACAAGAAATATTTTAGAAATTGATATTGTAAAGATATACTATTAAGAGAAATCTAGTAGGATATAAAAAATTGCCAAGTAATTTTGAGTATAAAACTTAGTCAAATTGTGAACTTGAAGTGTATATGATGAGGCGGTCTCATACAAAGTTTTTCCATGCATTATATAGTCAAATAATTATTTTTTTTTACAAGGTTTTGTCATACATAATATAGTTGAATAATTATTGTTTTTTACAAGGTTTTGCCATGCCATGCAATTTATAGTAGATTGAATTCTCCACCAAAAACTTAGTCAAATAATTGTCGAATATAGTTTTTTGTGGAGAATTTAGTCTACTATAATTGTTTTTGAACGACAATATTGTGAGGCCGTTTCATACAAGGTTTTGCTATGTAATGTATAGTCGAATAATTATTGTGGCCTCAATTATGTAGGAATGGGTTGCAACAGAGGAGGAATTCATTTGAAGATGGTATGCCAGGGACAACTTGTCCAATACCACCTAGAAGGAACTTCACATACATCCTCCAAGCCAAAGATCAAATTGGAAGCTTCTACTACTTCCCTTCTATCGGTCTTCATAAGGTTTCTGGTGGGTTTGGTGCCATTAGAATCTATAGTCGCCCTCGAATTCCAGTTCCTTTCCCTCCTCCTGCTGGAGACTTCACTGTTCTTGCAGGGGACTGGTACAAAAAAAGTCACAGGGTAAGTTCATACTGCTGATTACCAGCATCTATATATGTGAGACATTACACGCCAATTTACATACAAATTCATTCCCATTCCCTTAGACTAGAACCTTGCAATTGAACTATAACGGTGTATGACATGTTTGTATAACATCAACTTGTGTATCTTTTTTTAGCAATTGGGAAGGATGTTAGCAAGGGGCCGCAACATCCATATGCCTGATGGTCTTCTTATCAATGGCCGAGGATGGAATGGTTATACTTTCACAGTTGAGCAAGGTAACTATTCTGCACCAATGCATTTCATAATCTCTTTCGTAATGTACCAAAAGAATGTACTCTAACAGAAAGTAAATAAAAAGAGTTGTTAGGCTTAATATCTATTACTGACTTTTGGTCCTCCAAAAAAACTAACGGTTGTATGGTATGTAGGGAGGACTTACCGGTTTAGGATATCGAATGTTGGGACTGCAACATCCATCAACTTCAGAATCGCAGGGCACAAGCTTAAGCTCATAGAGGTTGAAGGGACACATACAATGCAGACAAGCTACACTTCCCTTGACATTCACTTAGGACAGTCATACTCGGTCCTAGTGATAGCTGATCAGCCTCCAGTTGATTATTATGTTGTAGTCTCTTCGCGATTCACTAAACCTGTTCTGACCACCACAGCCGTGCTTCACTACAGAAACTCTTGGAAGAAAGTCTCTGGCCCTCTCCCTCCCGGCCCCACCACGCAAATTGGTTGGTCTCTCAACCAGGCCCATTCTATCAGGTATATATATGCTTGCTACATTACAATATTAGGCCTTAAATTATATTAAGATATATGAAGTATTAACATGATTTATGTTTTCTACTCAGGATGAATCTGAGTGCAAGTGGCCCTAGACCAAACCCACAGGGTTCCTACCATTACGGTCTGATCAAATTACAACGAACAATCGTGTTTGCAAACTCTGCAGCATATATTAACCAAAGGCAGAGGTATGCAATCAACAGCGTATCATACGTGCAGGCAGATACACCCCTAAAATTAGCAGACTACTTCAACATCCCTGGCGTGTACTCCCCTAATAGCGTGCCTAGTTACCCTACATGGCGCCCTGCATACCTTAAGACCGGGGTGTTGCAGACAGATTACAGGACGTTTATTGAAATTGTGTTCCAGAACGAGGAAGATTCAGTTCAGTCTTACCACATTGATGGCTACGCTTTCTTTGTTGTCGGGTAAGAGCCATATATGACATATCTTATCATATCAATATATCATGCATAAGCCTTTTTATAAAATCCATTGACTACATATCCTAAAATCTGTTTAATTTTGGATGAGCAGGATGGATGGGGGACAATGGACTCCTAGGAGCAGAGCCAGCTATAACTTGAGAGATGCAGTTACTCGTTCCACGGTCCAGGTATTAATCCACATCACTTAACACCATATCTCTTGTGTTATTGCAACAAAAAATTCTTTTGTGTGTGCTATATTATCTCAAAATATCTGTTAATTCAAGGACATTTGCTTAGAAATAATAGTGCAAAGTGGTTGATGTTGCATAATAATATAACGAGGGAAATGCTATATTTATGCAGGTGTATCCAAAGGCATGGACCGCCATATACATGTCATTGGACAATGTAGGAATGTGGAACATAAGATCAGAGAATTGGGTAAGGCAATATTTGGGACAACAACTCTACATGAGGGTTTGGACTCCCTCTCGTTCGTGGAGAGACGAATATCCCATTCCTAAGAATGCACTCCTTTGTGGTAGAGCTAGAGGGCGTCATACACGTCCTATATAAATTTTTTTATTTTAGGTAAGTCGAGTCCTAGCTCAACTTCCTACCTCAGGAAAGTGAGAGGGAGACTGAGAGACTAAGGGAGTCTAATAGAGGGAACGAGGGTTCAAACCTACGAGCACTCTTGGAAATCCGAGCAGTGTTCGAGTTGAGCCACACGCCCACACGACACACTCTTTCTAAAGTAATACAAAGTATTAATGTATGATTTATTTTAAAGAGTCACGAGAGGGTGACATAGTTTATTAATTGTATTCGAGCTTATGTAACAATATTGCCATGACGTTACATGGCATAGCGGCAAGAGCTTTGTTTTAGGGGGAGAAGATTGAATTAGTAGGTTGTGAAATTAGGAATTGTTGTATCATGCGTTATCTCCCAAGTGTATTGCAAAAATGTAATTCTAGTTCCATTGTTTTATTAGTTCATTTTCGGGAATAAAGTTGAATTCATTGATCTGTAGGAAGGCTGGAAGGGTGATTCTATGATAGGCATCCCGATCCTTAAAATGAAAGTGTGAATTCAAATTTCGAGTTATGTGTTCAATGTTAGAGATCACAAAGTATATCTATCCTTTAAGGCATGATATAACACTTCCAATAAACGAAAATTTTAGCTCAACATTAAGTAACTTTTGACATAAGACTTATTAGGAACAGTTGATTAAGTGGTACCAACACAAGAATTGTCATAAAGTAATAATTCATACATATATAAGATAACACACGAAAAAAAATCTATATATACTTGTATAGTTGTATGCAACACAATTGTAAAGAATTAATTCTCATATATTACGTAATAAAGATTTAAATATTCAACTAATAAAATTTGACATTGACAAAATAATAAAATTTGGGAAATGACATGAATCGTTACATCCTTTAAACCCTCCCCAAAAAAGGACGAAAGATTATATACTCGTGCAAGTGTGCAACAAACATTAGACTATATTTAATATCTATATATATGACCTCATAATAATAATAAAGTCTTTTTAATAGGACTGTGGAGACTGACCTTTTGCGTTACCCTGGTGAGATCGCTGCCCCCAAACTCATGAAGAAATTGACAGATATATATTTCACGAAGGTCACTGCATCTGCAGAATCCACTTTCTCCTTGTCTCCGCGTCAGGTTGCCTTATGGAAGTCCCAGCAGGGGGATTACTCTTCTGCCTGGTTGCGAGCGGTCCCGATATCAGGTCTGGGTCAGACTATGAATGGTAAGACTTACCGTTGTGTTCTTTGCTACCGGTTGGGTGTTCCCTTGTTCTCCATATCGGCACCTTGTTCTGCTTGCTCAAGAGTTTTTGATGGGGATATTTATGGGGATCATGCAGTGTCTTGTGCTGGGATGGTGGGTATTAAACATCGGCATAACGTTGTTCGTGATACCCTTGTTGATATTTGTTTCCGCTCTGGGATTTCTGCAAGGAAGGAGGTCAACATTGGGTTAACTGGAGGGAACAACGGGGCTCTTCGGCCAGCAGATGTGTTGCTTAACTCCTGGGATAGAGGCCTAGATGTATGTGTTGACTTGACGGGGTCTTCTCCATTGACTCAATCTGGGTTGTCTGACTTCGTTCCTGGTCGTGTTATGTCGGCTGCGGCTCAGCGGAAGCGAGACAAGTATGGGGCGCGTTGCAGGGCTATTGGCTATGGTTTTCTTCCTTTCTCCTTTTCTTCATTGGGGGAATTAGAGAAGGATGCCGTTGCGTTGCTGAAGCGGGTTCAGGCGTTCGCTAGGACTCAGGATATTGGAGCTCGTGCTGCTGCTCACATCTTTAACAGGATTGGGTTCGCTATAGCTAGAGGGGTGGGGGCCCAGATTGTATCTCGGCTCCCCACTAATTTCTTGTAAATCTTTTGACTTTGTAGGTTTTTGTTATTTAATAATAATAATAATAATAATAATAATAATAATAAAATAATAATAATAATAATAATAATAATAATAATAATATATGACAATATTCAAAACCGTTTTGTTACATGCACATAAAAAAAATTAAATAATTAAATAGTGCAAAAATAAGCAAGTTATTAAGTTCATCAACCCACCGATTGCATGTATCGAAGAGAATTTAGTTGCACTTTGAATTTTTAATTTTTTTAATTATTTGACGGTGCCCTCCTTCCAATTTTGCCAACGTCAACCTTCTCTATTTGTCAACTCTCAAAAAATTTAGAAGAGAATATTAAATTTAAATTTATTAAAAACTCCTGGAAATTAAATCCAAAATAAATTTGTAGTATTTAAAACTGAAAGAATAAGAGAATTTTGTATATGGTGCATGTTGACATCTGTTAAGAGTTTAAGACCTATGCTTCACTCCCTCAACGTATACTTGTACATCTAAAATAAAAATACCCCAACTATATACTAGTATTTAAGACCCCGTTAAGTTTACTTTAAAATAATACGGAGTAATATTATGTAAAAATAATTTCAGTCAATAAAAAGAATTCCAGTTTAATAAAACAAAATAATAACCAGTTCATTTTAGTATGTACAAATCAGTAACTTTAAAGAAGAAATATGATACACAATCAATAATAATAATAATTTCAGCTCAGGAAAAAAAAATTAGTTCATCATAAAAAAGATGAAGTTCTTTCAAAAAAAAAAAAAAAAAAAAAAAAGATGAAGTTTATTTTTGCTAAACTAAAATCATTTTTGCTGAACTTAAATTAGTTTTTCTTTTAAGTTTATAACTAGTCTTTCTAGTATGTGGTCAATGTGGAATCCTATCAAAGTATGTACAAGTAAAGGAAAAAAGTGTAGTAATTATATCACACGAGTATATATTTTCCTCTGTTCTTCTCCTATTTATACCCCTTTATTTTGGTTGCATTTTATTCATTCCTCACCATCCTTCCTTTCATTTCTACTCTTCCATTTCCAACTCTTCTTAATTCTTTTTATCTCACTAGAAAGAAAAAAAATTTGATGAAGGTCGATCATGACAATGGTGTTAATCAAGGTGTCATAAGGCCCTATACAAGATCAAAGAAGCCAAGACTAAGATGGACAGATGATCTACACCGTAGATTTGTCAGTGCTGTTATGAAACTTGGTGGCGAAGACAGTAAGTTTAATCGCCTAAAAAATTATTATTATATGTAGTTAAACATTAGTTGCAATTCTGGAATATTTAACGGAGGTAGTACATTTTTTCTTGTCTATGCTTATTGTTAATTTTTTAATTCCTAAAAATTGCTACAAAATTAAACTTTTTTTGTTCTTTGATACATATATTTTGTTGTACTTATTTTTATTAAGAATTTAACTATGGATTGGGTGTTGTATATTAGGGGCTACACCTAATATGATTTTGCATGCGATGGAAGTTGATGGGATTACTGTATCGCATGTTAAAAGCCACTTGCAAGTACAATTTTTATCCCTCCACATTTTTCCTCAAATCATATGATTAATTATTATAATTTTAATTTATTTTATTAATTCGCTTCTAATCATACTTAATTAATGAGACGGTTTGATTAATCAAATTTTCATGTACCAAACAGATGTACAGAAGCATGCGACAAGAATCAATAATTCAAGGTACATATTCATCAAAAATATTGATACATCAACTGTTTATGTAATTATTTATTTAATGTTTGTTGCATGGCTGACTTTTTAGTTATTTTCTTCGTCATGTTGTAGGAGTTCGTACTGAAAGAGTACATAAACAGTACAATATAGTTTACTTACATTCTTGTTATCACAGTTGAATGTATCTCTATTATACATGTTTTCTTCAAATTTAGGGCTTAAAATTGAATTACTTAATATAGGGAGTTAAGGACTAAATTCAAGTTTCAAGTAATCTATCAACATAAAAAATGAACCGGAGTCCTAACCGTACAAATCATTTAATCCAATATGTATCTAGCGTGCAACTGTTGTAAACCGGCCAAAAAATTACCAGCAAAAAAGAAATTAAAAGGTCCGATTCAATACATATATATATAATAGAAGATTTGCTTCCTTCTTCCGTGAAAACAACTCCATAACTATCACATTTTAACACCTCAATTAGATTTGTAAACACTTTTTTGAGATCGATCAAGAACTAACCCTAATTTAACAATTGCTAAATTTCTTATTCACAATTCTCATTCTAATTTGGAGAAAGTTTTCGGGTTGTATATTTGATATGATTAAAGTATATTCAAAACTTTTTAGAGATTTCTTAAGATCGAACATTAAACTTTTTAGAGATATCAATATTATTTTTAGCACTATCCATCATTCTTGATCATTTATATAATAGTAGAATCAAATAGCACAAGCAAGTTATCGTTGGCCTAGGTTTATATGTATGATAAAAATAATGTTTATCACAATATCACATTGATATTTTGGTAAAAAAATCAAATACTTTATCTAGTCATCATTAAACATGAGATCCGTTTCTAATGAAAAAGTTATTAATGTATTTACAAAAATGACTTGTCATAAAAAAAAAAAAGGAGATAAACTTGTATTTTCTTGTGTGTCGTTTGATAAAACTCCTTGTTTATAAATGTAGAAGCCGTGGATGCGGCTAAGAAGGATATGCAATTGATTAATCAAATTCCTGAGATGATAAACTCGCCTACCTCTCGTCCAGTATCTCGTAGGCAAACTCGTCTACAACATGTCAAGGATTCACTCATAAAAAAAGCCTTAAACAAGCACTTTCTTGGTGGTGAAGGTGATCACCACAAGATGCCGTTACAACATTCACTATTGGAGACATTGCCGTGGTCAGAAATCGCGGCAAATGATGGTGCTACCAAAGTGTTTTATGTGCCAGAAGAAGCCGATAAGAGGTGTTATGGCTACAAGGTATTCGATGATCTTGCTCAAAGTTCCAAGGCAAAGCCTAAGGGGATGAATAATGACTTAGATACAACTTTGAGGTTGAATCTTTTTGACACTACTTCTGTCATAACTTGTGAAGAAGATATCTCACTAAAACTCTTCCTTTAATAATTTTAGCAGCTAGCTAAGATGATCATATTTATCATGTATCATACATGGACCTTGCATGTGTTTATGAAATTAACTAGCTAGCTAGATATTTCTTATTACAAGTATTTCTTTGTTTTTACTTAAATTTTATGAGAACTTTATTGTTATTGCTTGTAATTGGACTAATAATTAAGGTGTCTCATTTTTTTTTGTGTTCTACCCGGTTCACCCTTTGGCCGGTTAATTCGGATTCGAAGATCAGTTTTGGGAGTCAAGGTTCTAGTCCCCTTCCAATTGTTGTTGCAGGGAATCGAACACGTAGTCCTTCTTACTAAGTGTATACCCAAATACCCAATCACCACTATATCAACAACCAGTTGGCAGATTGTCTCATTTATGCATATATGATATATAGCTCGCTTTGTTATAATCTTGTACATATAGTACCTCCAACATATAATAGTACATATAATAATCTTGTACATATAATAGTACCCT